ATCCTTCAACATATTTGCATCATTATAGGAGTTACCGTCCAAACAGGCAGACTGACTACAATCTCAAAATTTTATACAGTTTTTCTCAGTCGCCTTTTTGGCACGTTTTTCAAAACGGTCTTAACATTCTCTAAACTGTAAGTGTAAAGAAGAAAATGTTTGCCTGGACATTTAGAACTCTTGCATGTCTGCAATATGTAGTTACTACACTAAAACATTTAATCTGTTATAGTGTCAATGAAATGCATTTTTAGCATCGAAATATTTTCTAAATAAATGTCATTTTTTTTAAATACTTTTTTTGTCTGTATATACATTGAGTATTTTAAATACAGATTTATTAAGTAGGTGGAAAATTGACTGGGAAAAGTCCAATACTGTCATACACAAAAATTAGTTTTTACATTTATTTTTGCAAAACTGTGTTACGTTGTAAACTGAATGCAGGCACATCAATTCTCTAACGTTTCAGCCCGAGTGGCGTTTATATCCCTGCTGTCCGGCAGAGCCTCCAATGGGCCCAATCTCTCTGGAACTCAGATTCTCCTGCAATTAAATCCCTTTCAAGTTTCATTCAGCATTTCAAGGAAGTGTTTGGTCAGACAGTTTCCAATCTCCCTGTTCACGATCAGCTCTTCAACCTTCGTTAAGGAAAGTCTTCAGTGAGTACATATGCCCATCTATTTTGCCTGCTGACGGCTTCTAGTGGTTGGAATGAGACAGCTTTGACAGCTTTTTGACATGGTCTCAACCCTAACATCCGTCAGCTGGTGGTGGTATATCAGGATTCCTTGGGATTGAAAACCTCATTCAGAAAACCATTCGAGCATCTCAATGCTTATCTCTCTGTGATGTTTTAGAAACCGCTGTAAGTCCTCAGTCCTCGACTCCATCAGTCGCCCCTCCAGCACCCGAGCCCATGCAGATTGACTCCGCTCATCTTTCTTCTTCAGGGCGGTAGTGTAGAATTCAACACAGCGTCTTTGTCTATAGCCTACTGTGGGGTGATAAACATTTCATCAACTCCTGCCCAATTCGACCTTGGTAAGCACCATTCAGATTCCTCATTAGATTTCAACCTTGAACTGCACAACTGTTCATTTTGTTAACCTCCATTATATATGTCTCAGCACAAGCCTCCTCGACTCCGGCTGGGCGGGGAACTTCATTTCCTCTCAACTCCTACATAAATTTAACCTTAGATGGTCCAACATCAACCCATTATCGTCTGGAAATCCGCGGAGGTCATTCGCTGGGGAGAAGACTGCTCGCATTCCTGTCTAGCTTCGGTTGAGAAGGTCCAGAAAGCCTCCTCTTCATCTTCTGTGGGAAAGTCCGAGTTTCCTGTGTGTTCCACGTCCATTCAAAGTCCGGAGGTCCATCACCAGGAGATTCCTGTTGAGTATAACATAGGGCATTCCAGGATGTGTTTAGAAAGCAGTTGGCGACTTAACTAAGTTGGAGCAGTTATATCACAGCGGCAGGGTGATCCTCCCAAACTCCATCCATGTAGCTGTCCCCGGTGGAGCGGATCTATGATATTGGGAATCGGGAGCTGCTCGCCATCAAGCTGATGTTAGAGAAATGGAGGAATTGGCTTGAGGGAGCTAATCACCATTTTGAGGTTATAACCAATCATTGCAAACTTGAATACCTCAAAGAAGCGAAAAGGCTGAATCCCTGTCAGGCTCGATGGGCTCTCTTCTTTACCCGCTTTGATTTTACCGTGTCATACCGACCTGCACTCTTAGAAGAAATGGTTCTATTTACAACCAGAAATGGTTCCATCCCCCGCTTCATATATGGAACTCCAAAATGGTTCTATATGGAACCATTTTTTTTGGTAAAAGGTTCTATTGGCCAAGTATGGAACCCCAGGGTTCTATATAGAACCCAGAGGAACCCTTTTTTTAAAAGTGTATAGAACCTTTTAGGGGTTCCAAATATGTAGCGCTGATAGAACCTTTTAAGGTTCTATATAGAACCTTTTCTTAAGAGTGTGGAAGCAAGAATTGCAAAGTGGATGCTCTCTCTCATCTTCATCATGCTTCAACCGAAGATTCACTACCAGAGCCTAACACCCCCAGAAAACTCTCGGAGGGCAAGCCCGTGCCACTTCCTATCCCACAACGGCCATGGTCCCACCTCCGAATTGATTTCATCACGGACCTTCCCAGATCCAGTAACCACACTCGTCGTTGTGGATCGCTTTTCATAGGCTTGCAAGCTGATCCCATTGCCTGGACTTCCAACTGCATTTGAGGTCGCAGAGGCCCTCTCCAATCTTGTGTTTCGAAACTATGCCCTAGTAGGACATAGTGTGGACACTAGGACATAGTGTTGGACAGAGGTCCACGGTTCATTTCAAGGGTTTGGCAAGCCTTCTTCAGACTCCTCGGTGTTACTGTTAGCTCATCTTCTGGATACCAACCTCAGACAAACGGCCAGACTGAGCGGAAGATCCAGGAGATCGGACGACATCTCAGGACCTATTGCCACCAGTACCAGGACAGCTGGAGCCGGCTGCTTCCCTGGACAGAGTACGCCCAGAATTCCCTTTGGCAATCCACCACGGGCTCACCCCCTTTCAGTGTGTCTCTGGTTATAAACCTCCACTCTACCCTTGATCGGGTGAGCTCTCTGAGGTTCCAGCTGTCAATTACTGGTTTCATCAGAGCAAGAGGGAATGGGACTCGGCTCACGTGCACCTCCAGCAGGCAGTGCGGAGGCACAAGGACCAAGCGGATCGTCGCCGTGTTCCCAGTGACTCTCCATCCACAACTGTAAACAAAGACTTTGGTTATCCTTCAGCTAAGTTCCATCCTGAATATTGTCTGCTTGCATTCTCACCATATCTCTGTCTGGATCTGCAACCTGTAAACAAACACTATTTTACTTACCACCTGTCTGTCTCCTGTTCCATCCGTGACATGTTCATTACAACTGAAGGCCATTTGCCAATTTATAAAATATTACAAACCTTCCATGTCATGAATATATATGGAATATGTCTGACAGATTTTCATCTGAGATTGTTTTGCATGTGAAGGCTCACACGATGAAAGAATGTTTAGAAGTTGTGAAGAGTTTGACAATTTCACTGAGAATCAACTCATCAGTATTAATAAACATGCTATGTGTATTGTGCAAATTAGACAATTGTACTTACTCTTTTGAAGATATGTGCCAAAACACATGCAATTTGCTCAAATCAAGAAATTTAAATTTGATTTGAACAAAAAACGTATTGTGAATTGAGGAAAAAAACTGCAATAGATTACATAAAATACCCTTGATTATAGCCTATATTCATTTTTTTATATTTTACTACCTGATAACAGTAAGCACATTCAATGTGGTAAATCACTATCTAGGATGACCAATAGTCCTGTTTTCACCCATCTGAATTCGTGTCTTGTAATATAACAAATCTCTATCCATACAAGCATAGCGTACTTTAAATATATTGAAATGAATCAGGCATCTTTGAGTAAACTTCGAGTATCATTTGAGTATCTGTTTGCCGGGCCAATTGTCCTGGTTTTTGGTCATTAAAATATTGTCACCCTATCACTATTAATACAGATTGTGACTGGTAGCTCTTTGATTTTATTTACAAAAAGGCACAATTAATCTTAATGTTCAGTTTTGGTTGAATTTTTTATCGGCGTTTATGTACAAGAAGTAGACAAGAACAATGGATCTTACATTCAGTAAAACAAGAAATATTTGATAGAACAAGATATTGTGTAAAATATGAAGTGTGCATAAGAATAAATAAGTATCCTGAACTTTTTTTGTGATAGCCTACATCTATCCCCTGTGAACTTTGTTCAATAAAGAAATAAAATAAATAATTATAGGGGAAGAATACATCCAAAAGTATGTCCTACTAAATGTGGATCACATAATAAAATATTAACCCGAGGAACTAAAATATGTGGGCTCTTTGTGTTTGTTCAGCCTACCTTTTTTTCTCTTCCCAAAAGCCGTGTTACTTGTTTATTTATTTAGAATTGCACAAGTATCCACTACAAACTCAGGGTTAGCCTCTTTTATCCTGGCTTCAGTGCACAGTGACTCACTGAAGGGACGTCAGTGCATGCTCAGAGACGAGATAAAAAGCGTCCCAGCCGGGAAAGGAATATCTAGAAAAGGTCAGAAAGTGTGGGGGTGATGCAGATGATTGGAAATGTAGTGGAGAAGCGCACATCTCGGTGGGCGTTTTTTGCATTACTTCTTCAGAAAAGACGATCTCCAATGGAAAGAAACGCGACTGAAGTTCTTTTGTGGTCGTAGGGCATGGATTTAAGTAGTAAGTAAGGATGATTATTTTCATTATAACGGACTGATCAATGCAGCGCTGTGTTAAAAAAAAACGTAACTCTTTCTGTAAAGCATGTTGCCTACCTTTTCGCAGTTATTTTGAGAATACTGATTAATTTGAGTTTTGAGGTGCCTATAAAGCCATTCATAAAAACTTTATATAGCACGTGCGTGCGTGTAAAGGACAATGTGCATTCAAAAGGGCGTTACTTAACTTAAATGACCAGCTGTTTGAATGATCTTGCTCGCCTAGGCAAATATACATGGATATAAAATAGCCTGTTGATTTATCTTATTTGTAGATTATTTAAAAATATCCACTAGTGTAATTCAATATTATAGTCCCAAGAGTTACATAATACGGACAGGCGTTTTCTCACTGGACTGGTTGTCTTATAGGAGTTCTGGTAGTAATCTTCAGCATGGTTGCCTCTGAACTGTCTTACATTCACACTAGACCAATTGAATTTGTGTGTGACAGCGATGTCAGAAGAATGTTGAACAAGGTGAAGGACTTCCAAGAGGAAATGGTAAGACTGTGACATCAATTCTTGATTTAAATCGTTCTTTCACTTCGTTGTGTGTTTCTGTTTTTAGGATCTGTTACCTACCACAATGTTTACATTCCTATCTTAGCCTACACCATAGCTAAGAGATAACTGTTAAAAGGGAACCGTTTAAATTTAGGCTCAAGGAGTGAGAAGATTGAGTTTCCATTCTTTCCAATCTAAAATGAGTTATGTGCTAAAATCAATATTTTTTTTTTGTCAGGTTATATAAATTCAATTGAATTCCTCAAGCCACCACCATTTATTGGTGTTCATTTATGTTTGTAAACTGCAAAGAAAAGAAATAGATCAGCCTCATTAGATGTTTGCATTATACTCTTCACTTGACCGGTATCTGTCAGTTTAAGTTACCTGTTTGCATGTTAACTGATTCTCTGCTGTCTGTCTCTGTCTTGGCGTCTCTGTTTGTTTTGACAGTTTGCCACTCTGACTCCTCAGTGTCTACATCTCTGCTTGTCTATCCACCGGTGAGACATTTTATAGGCTGTGCTTTTCACTCCCTTTACAGAAAACCTGCAGTGCCGTAGATGCTCTACCCTTTTCTATTCAATTACCATGCGTCGGCATTCACAAACCAACCTGGGAGAGAAAATCAGTGAGTCGTTCAATGCAGCTCCCACTCCCTCCACTCCAATACAGCACCAACCCACTCACGCTGCTCTGGCACACACACTCATTGAGACACCTGTATGTGTGTGTTCCAGGTGCACGAGTGGAGGGCTGAGATCCTGCTGTCTTTGTGGACTCTAGCGCAGGATGTGCAGTCTGCCAGGACACTCAGCCAACCTGGCTGTAGATTCACTCTGCTGGAGCGCTTGGAGCACAATATCAACAACTACCTGCTTATAGTCAAACGGCTCCACATTGAGGTGAGAATAGACCAGTTCAACCTTGTGCTGCAGCTCAGATAGATATTGGCACAGAGACGAATGGCATCATTCTGTGTGTTTAAAAAAAAAATATTACAAAAGTTTTGCATGCAAGCAAGAGTAATTCACATAGTAAATCATATATAGCATATATTTTAGGGCTGTCAAACGATTAATCGCATCCAAAATAAAAGTTTGTGTTTACATACTATATGTGGATACACTGTGTATAATTATTTTGTATATATATACAGTATATATAAATACACACACATGCATGTATATTTAAGAAAAAAATATTATTTATATATAAAATCTTTATATTTATATAAAATATAATTTGTAGACACATATATTATGTATTACTATATATATATATATATATATATTATATATATATATATATATATATATATGAAGAGTTCAGATGCAAAAGCCTCTAAATGCCATTTCAAATTTTCATCTTTAATGATGATTTTTATCAAACTTGTATATTTAAGTTCAGTAATTTCACTTAAATGGCAATGATAATTACCTATTAATTGTTATTTAAGTGAAATTACTGAACTTAAATATACAAGTTTGATAAAAATCATCATTAAAGAAGAAAATTTCAAATGGCATTTAGAGGCTTTTGCATCTGAACTCTTCATATATATATTATATTATATAATATATATTATATATATATATAATATATATATTATATATTATATATATACATATATTATGTATTACTATATATATATATATATATATATATATATATATATATATATATATTCAGTATTAGTATTTCATATAGTAATATTAATTAGTAATATAATGTTCAGCTAATATTACAAAAGTTTTGCATGCAAACAAGAGTAATTCACATAGTAAATCCTATATATATCAGGGCTATCAAACGATTAATCACGATTAATCGCATCCAAAATAAAAGTTTGCGTTTACATAATATGTGGATACACTGTGCATAATTATTTTGTGTGTGTGTATATATATATATATATATATATATATATATATATATACTGTATACAGTATAAATACACACACACACATGCATGTATATTTAAGAAAAAAATATTATTTATATATAAAATATTTATATTTGTATATAATATAAATTGTATATAAATCTATATACAGCATATACATGAAAATATTTCTTAAATATATACAAGCATGTGTGTATTTATATATATATATATATATATATATAATAATTATGCAAAGTGCACCCACATATATTATGTAAACACAAACTTGTATTTTGGATGTGATTAATCGCAATTAATCGTTTGACAGCCCTAATATATATATATATGTATGTATATATTCAGTATTACTATTTCATATAGTAGTAATATTAATTCACATAGTAATTTAATTACTAAAATGAAATGAAAGTGAAATAAAGATAAATATTCTACAATATAATAAAGACAATCCCAGATAGCAAACTGACGTTGAATCAACGTGGAAATATGACATCGAAACAACGTTGATCTGACATTGTTTTGCTCATCGAATTAACGTTGAACCAACGTCAGGCGCGTCATTCTTTCAAAACTAACGGAAAATCAACTTGAAATCAACGCGTTGTTTCAACGTTATGAAAGCAAACCAATTTTCGATTTTCATTTAGCTTTGAAGAATGCCGCATCTGACGTTGGTTCAACGTTAATTCGATGAGCAAAATCAACGTTGTTTCAATGTCATGAGAGACGTCGTTTCCACGTTGATTCAATGTCAGTTTGCTGTCTGGGATAGCTCTGACATATATATAGTAAATAGTAAACACAATACAGTAGCATTAGTTAAATGACAGTATAAATACTGTATAAAAATATATTACATTTTAAGACTTGACTGCAACTGATTCAAAATGAATAATTTAATGATGTAATAGCAATAATAATCTAATTTTGCAACATTTGATAGATGTACTTTCATATTATTTTTAAATTCCTTTAAAAAAAGACGTGAATGGAAGTTTCCCCATATTTCCCATATACGTAGTTCTCAAGGAAAATATCCTGCCTTCCCGGAATCTTTGTTGATCCGTCACGTCATCTTGGTGACTTTGACTCCAGGTGACCTCTGCCTTCCTTCCCCAGGAAAGAAGGGGAGATAGCGACACATACTTGACCCGTGAGAAGGATGGGAACATGATGCTCTCTGAAGTGCATTACAGCCATGCCCTGCTGATAAAATATACATACCGCCACTCCTAAGCGCGTACTGTGGGGACTATGCTGGACTGTACTTTTGCTGATTTCAAAACATAATTATTATGAGAATCAAAGAGTGTGTGTTTTTTCATCTCAATGATGACCCACCATCTATCATAGTAGAGCTTGTTAATTTCTATCACACAGTAAAAGTCATTTCTTTTTGTCCCTCGTACACATGACTATTTTTAGCTTGAACACTGTTTTATTTTCTGTCCATCTTCGTCTCATCCACCAGGGGGAGCAAGTAGAGCACCAGGCAGAGGGATGCCAGGGTCAACGCTCTACGGATTTGGGTTTGGTGTTGAAGAACTTTGGGCTTCTTCTCACAGGCAAGCTGGAGTGGCTCATTGCAGAGATGGAAAACGGGTGCTAGAGACTGAAAAAAACTGACTTCTAATCTCTGCCTTTCTTCAATCTTGTGTAATTGAACCAGACAGGCCAAATCAATTTTAACAATGGTCCACCTTCAAGACAATGGTGGGCCAAGCACTTTGCTGAGACCACAGATTTACATGCCGTGTAAATGACAAGACTCTGCCATCTACTGGATCATAGCTGAACTGACTCACCTGTTGACGCGCAACCACTAGAACTTTTAAAACAGACAAGAGTGATAACTGGTGAGTCGTAAAATTGTTTTATTCCACAGATTATATTTATTTATTTTATAGTCTGCATGAAAGTGACTCTGCAGGGTGTGATGGCACATGGAAGGCAACCTGAAGTCAATAAGAAGGGCAGAATGTGGGACACAATGCAGTTCACACACAGGAAAGGTCACTTTATCTATACACTCCAAGTTATGGGATAACTATGGGATATTTGTGCATATAATATATTTTGTATACAAATAGTATTTACAATATTTTGTTAACAAATAAACACCTATTTTAATATTTTATTAAATTGAAATGCTGATGCTTTAACACAAAACAATGTAAATAAACACAGTGAGCAATGTGAAAATATGTTATTTAAATCACTAAATATATTCTCTTTTTAATATGTGATGTCCCTCTCTCTTGAAATGTTCCCCCAGTTTTGTAAAATGTAAATTTAGTAAGAGTTGTTAAATGAACATATCTATTTCCCTTTAATTTGTTGTGTGGATTAGAGTGTTTCATCTACACTGACTTTGAACATCACCTTTATATCTACTTTTAAATGGTTGTCTTTAACAAATGCAATATGCAGGCAATGGCTTGAATATAAAGTCTGAGGTCAGACACATTAAATTGATCAAAATTGACAGTAAAGATATTATATTAGAATTTATATTACAAATAAATGCTTCTTTTGAACTTGAACTATTCATCAAATAATCCTAAAAAATTCACCACATTATACAAAAATATTAAGCAGCATAACTGTTTTCAACCTTTAAAATAAGAAATGTTTCTTGAGCATCAAATCGGGATATACGAATGATTTCTGAAGGATCATGTGACACTGAAAACTGAAAATTCAGATTTGCCATCACAGAAATATATTACATATTAAAAATGATAATTAAAAAAACAGTTAAAATGTATATATGTATTTCAACATATTACTGTTTTTACAGTTTTTTTTTTGCTCTCAACATCTGAACAGTAGCAGCACACAAAAGAGTGGAAGAACAAATCTCAGCATTGTTTGAATGATTGAAGTCCCCCTGATAGCCTATTTGAAGGTGATATTTCAATAATTTAATAATACATTTTATATCTTAATAATTTTAATAATATATATTATTTTCTATCTTTATATTTACTGTTAAAGTGTTTTTTTTATTTTGACTGTTTTTTATTTTAAATTATTTATTCATTCATGATTTTTTTTTTTCAATTTTTGTTGATTGGGGAACCCTGGTGTAATGTAATGTTTAATGTATTTCATGATCTACAATAGTGGCCAAAATTTATGTCTGGTCACGGAAAATTGCAATTTTCAACAAATTCTGTAAGACTATTTCATACTTGTGCTTGGAGATAATTGTTTTATTTGTGATTACACAATTCTGTGAATATTTTTGGCTAGACTATCATAGAAAGAATTATGTTGATAATAAAAAAAAAGAGAACCAGCTAAATGATGACAATAGTTGACATACATTTTTTTTTTGCATATAGTTTTAAAACCATGACCATTGTTTGCCTTTTTTGTGCTAATTTTTAACTAATTTTGTCAGATAAATACTTTAACTATGCAAGTAATCAGAATAAATGACCTAAATTGCATAATCCAATACAGTTATATCCATGTATATCCAAGTATGTAACTACATATAAAAGGTTTAATCTGTGTTAGGGCCAGCAAAATTTCGATTTACTATATGTCATTGTAAATCTTTGCTGATTTGAATGTAGTGACGTATCTGATTAATGCCATCTCTGCATCTGTCAGTGTTGTGTTCATGCTGCTTTTCCTTCTGCTCGTCTTCTTCTTCTGTCCCTCTAGCAGCTGGGGCTACATCTCGAAGGCTTTTTCAACAGTATAGGCAATTACCTCCAACACTTTAATCAGTGTCGAACATGGCTCTTTAAACCCTGCTTCTATGGCAAACTTTGCTTGCATTCATTTTTATTAGTTTAAAAGGGTAATTTTAGTTCAGTGGTCGTCATTGTAATTCTGGTAATTTCCACAAGATTGTGGACTGGCTTTTCAGATTCTGGACTTAACATAACAGTCTGATAGGTTATAGTGCCACCAAGTGACTACATTGCACACATACCTACTCCATAAGGAAACGGCATTGAAACGAGTTTAATGGGTTTAAAAATGTTAAATAGTAAGCTAACAACGGCATAAATATGCGTAATATACATTTGACTGAACAAAAAAAAAAAAAAAAAAAAACTTCTGCAGCATGCAGCTCATCCCAATGAACACTTGGTGTCGCACTTTAATCAGAGAGTGAGACCAGGGGAAATTAAGCGAATGTTAATAGCTCATGAATATTAATAGTTTTAAGTTGAAGTTGCTTGGTAACCTTCCTGGAGCGTCCAATCAATTGATCAAATTATTATTAGAATAGCCTATTACAATATCATTGAGACAAGTAGCCTATTCCACATTACAGAAGGATTCTCTAAGGGTGGGGATGTATTTCTTCACCACAGAAATAATGTTTTTCTTTTGACATTGCTGTCACGTTTAATTTAGGCCGCATTAGGCCTAGTTTCACTTTTGTATAAAGGAAATAAAACTGTTGATAAACCCTGCTTCAGGCCACTTTGTAGCCTATCCTTTCGGCCCACATGTGCCTAATAGTAAGACTCTTTAAAATACGTATTATAACGTTTTATATTTGAGAACTAAATGCTTGAGCCCACATGTTTGAATATTGAGAAACTGATGGCATGTCAGTAGGCTAGTAAAATAGCAGCAAGTGCAATTTCTTTATTTATTTTTCTCCAAAACATTCAGGATTTTAAAGTACCAATTCATTCAGCTCTTGAAGCTTAATTAACTCACGTAAAAACAAAGTGGGACAATAAAATAAAATATATATTAAACTGTACAACTGAAAGTAACAGAGAAATTAATTCAGGAATTTTATCTACAATGACACATTTGCAGCAACTACTGATTCAGATATGATTAAAATGTATGCAATCTAAAGTCACACTGCCCAGTTTCACAAGATCTGTGAAAAAATGTTTATTCCTTACGAGTTTATTGCCAAATGCCAATGTGAATCTAAAAATCTAAAGATTATATATATATATATATATATATATATGTATATATACACACACACACACACACACACACACACACACACACACACACACACACACACAAATGTATTAAACAGTACCTACATGAGAAGAATTTGATAGCTAAATATAATACATTGTTGCGTTGTAACGACGTCACGCAGACTCGGGTGCCGCCCCGCGGTAATGCTTCTTCTAGCCTGAATCCAGAGCCACGGTGGTGTCACCCGCTGTGAAATGCTTAGCACACAAGGTTACGAAACAGACGCCATCTTGGCTCAACCGTAAGTTGCGAGCGTGGGAATCTCACGCCACTTCAGTGTAGCTTGAGCCAAGATGTCACACCCTTGCTGCAGTTCGTAGTAACCTTCTCCATTAAACCTTTGGGGGAGGGATATACGAGAGCTGTCGCGCAAACTACTTCTTCCTACACTTCTGTGGAACACAGGAAAATGGCCTAGCTGTTCCTGGAGATTTCCTGCAGATGTCAAATACATTATCTCTTGATTTATATGACGCGAAGTGTGTTGGATTGTACCCGTGGAGTGGAGTTAACGTTACATGGCTGAATCGTGCGTGAAGATGATGGTGATGGTGATGATGATGATGATGATGGGGATTCCACCGGTGAGTAAACGATTAACCCACAAACTGTTATTCGCTTATGACATCTGTGGTGTGTTTACTATAGAAACCCAACGAATGCAGCATTTCATACTACTTGGGAGATTGAAGACGGAACATTTGAGATGTAAACTGAATCGTTAACGCGTGTTTCTTGGCAAATATTAATTTATCTTATGTGTTCACATTTAAATCACTACGCTGAACCTCTGATTGCTTGTGAAGCGTGTAAAAATAGCTGGTAAGCAGGTAAACGCATGTATTGTTTGACAGGCTAATGTTAGTTAGCTAACGGTAATCAAGTCTTTAGACTGAATGAACTTCAATACTCTGTTATAACGATACATGCGACTGTTGTTTGGTTTAATAATATCGTATTACGGTAATGATGAGCTTAATTATTGATGAGTTAACACTTTATAACAATTAACATTAATATAAGTAATAAATATATAACTTACTGCTTAACTAAGTGATATTGCGAATGCGAAAACGAATACACTAACCAACATTTCTAACCCACTCCAATAGCCTATAGATATGGAACTTAACTGAGTGATATGCAGTTAAAAGTTTTGAAAGTGTTAACTATTTGTTTATATGGAGAGTTTACTTTTTTTCGTGGTAGGGCGGGAGTAGTCATCAGGGTTTGGTTCTTGCATTGTCAGAGTGAATCAAACTTGCAATGCAGAAGTTAAAATGACTCATTCAGCTTTCTAATGTGTGACTTAAAGCACTTGCTTGAGATGCACTTGGGAAGAGAGGGAATTATGCAGTGGAAGCTTTTGAAATCCAGTGACCGGTTGACAGATCCCTGCTTAGCAACAGATAGTCCTTTAGTTGGCCCTGCTGTCCTAGACATCTGAGCTACTTCTAATGCCTTTTCTCATAAATATGATGTGGGAACAAAGGCTAGTTCCAATGCTGTTTTCATTCTTCTTCTTTAAGAGTAGATGAAAGTAAAATCCTCTACTGTGATGTTCAAATTGTGAGAGACACATGGCAGCTGTGCGCTCTAGGATTCCCTAGCTTTTGGAGCATCGCTGTATATTTCCTTACTTTGTGCAGCTTTTATGTTGATAAGCAAAGCATGGGTGAAATGCCACAGCAGTCAGTCGCAAGAAAGTGAAAACATTCCTGTAGTGTGGAAGCTTCACGTCAACAGTTAGCGGCACAGTGTGCTGCAGAAAAATGCTTTACATAATGAACAATAACAGGAAGAAAGTGAGTGAAAACTACAGTGAGATATCTCAACATTCCAGAGTCTTGCAAAAGTGATCAAGTCCAAACTGATCTAGTCACATGACACTATTTAAATTTTAGTGGTTACATGAGTGCCAATGTTTGGAAATAATGAAGCCTTCAGTGCTGTGATGTGAATTTCTAAAAGGCCTCTAAATTATTAACATGATCCAAACTTTGCTGACAAACCTGTTAAAAACAATATTCTATATTTATTTTGCCTTCTGATTGATGGTTCTTACTTTTCTAGCAAGTAAAATACCTTTTTAGGCCTTGTCCCAACTCTGAAATGGCACCCTAAACAATCTCAGTCTTCTTGTGAGTCTGCACTT